CTTTGCTGGGTCAGGTCCCTCTCACCATGGGCCTCTTCCTCCAGGTGAGCCAGACAGGGAGCGCCTGCAAGGATGTTTGCCTGGCGATATAGACTCTCTCCAAAGGGGTGGCTGCCGCTGGAAAGCACGTAGTAGAACACGCAGCCTGCAGAGAAGATGTCCACCGCGCTGGTCTGGGCCGGAGGAAGGGGCGTGAGGAGGAAGTCCACCCGGAGTCTGCGGGCTAACCTCTCCCAGGGTGTCTGGCTCAGAGGAGAACTCGGGGATGCTCCTGAGAGGCAGCCCCTTATCCCTAGGTCCCTCCCCTCTGCACCATTGAGGGCCCATGGTCTTCACCCCAATCTTTGCCCCTACTGAGCTTCTAGCTTGGGTTTCCGGACGCCATTCCCGCACATGTAGCAGGGAGCATCAGGAAGGGAAGCCGCCAGGCGTGTGGCAGGAGGCAGGGGTGAGGACAGATGGGGCGCCTGTCCACAGCCGCCTGGCACTAAGCTCTGCTGGTTGCCTCCAGGGCACTCAGCAGCAGAGCTTTCACTTCCCAAGAGGCTCCAGAACTCCAGAGGTTTATGTGCAATTTCCCGAAAGTGAAAACGGCCACTAATTAAAAAGCGAAAGGACCTGACAGGCTCCTAGCCGTGCCTTTGTCCTTGGGCCTGCAGGTGGCCCCTTCTAGCTTTCTCTAGACGTCAGGCGTCAGGCGTCAGGCGTGGGAGCAGCTTTGCCCCCAGCGACTGTCCTTTTGTGCCGCTGTCATCTATGCCCATGACTGTCACTTCCACACACACAAACCTGGGGCCCCAAACTTACATGTCTCTAGGGTCAGACACTGCTTCAACTATGTTCGCTCATCAGATGTTCCCAGCCCTCCACCCAGCGCTTCTCTACGCTGCTGCATTGAAGACCCTGGCCTTGCCCCAGCGGATCGGGCTGGGGTCACTGGATGTGGGGCCTCGCAGCTGACTTTTTTAAGTTGCCCAGTGATTCTGCAGCACAGTGAAGAGGTAAAGCCATTTCAGCTCAGGGTTCTTAACCTCGGCACTATTGACACTTTGGGCCTGATAACTTTCATGGGGCGTGGTCAAAGGATATTTAGCAGCATCCTTGGTCTTTACCCACCAGATGCCAGTAACACCCCCCTACCCACCACGTGTGGTCTCCAGACATTACCCAGGGCCCCCTGGGTGGTGGAATAGTCTCTGGTTGAGAACCACTGCTCTAGGTAGGAAAGGATGAATGAGTCCACTTTACAGATGAAGGAGCAAATTCCAGCTCACACGGTGTGATGTGCAGCCTGGGCAGGAGGCCCTGGGCCAGGTGATGGAGGACTCACCGGGCTGTCGGGGGGCGGGAGCTGCAGGAGCTCAGGTGCCATCCAGCCCTCTGTGCCGGGGACACCTGAGCGCAGGCTGAAGCTACAGCGGCCGGCTGCCAGCTTCTTGCACAGGCCGAAGTCCGAGAGGACCACCCTGCCTCGGCCCTGGCCCTCAGGCCCCGTGATGAGCACGTTGGTTGGCTTCAGGTCCCGGTGCACTGTGAGAGCGGGAGGCAGCTGAGCGCAGGTGGGGAAGGCAGGGTGGGAGATGGGGAGCGAGGGGTGGGTGGGTACCTATGTGTAGAGAATGCAGGTGGGCCAGGCCAGACATGAGGTGCTGCAGCGCTGTCTCCGGCTCCAGGCCCCAGCAGTCCAGCTCTGGATTTTCCACGTACTGAGGAGCAGCAAGGGCCAGGTCACTGCAGCCCAGGACCCTATGCCCTCACCCACACCGCCCTGCGCCCCAGCCTCACCTCCTGCAAGGAGGCGGGGCAGAGCTCCAGGGCGATGTAGTAGAACTGGGGTCCCCGCTCTGTACAGAAGTAGCGGAGCACGTTGGGGTGCCGGTCTGACTCTTGCAGCAGCTGGACCTCCCGCCGCACCAGACCAAAGCATTCACGAAGGAGTCGCTTGACAGCCACTGCCCGCCCCTCAAACTGTCCCCTGGTAAGTGGGGGAATGGAGGTTCAGAGAGGGCAAAGGGTAGGACAGCTCTCCGAGGGACGATGCGGGAAGGGCTGTGAGAGCCACGTCTCCAGCCTGGCTCCTGGCTGCCACTCACCGGAAAACAAAAGTCCCGCCTGCCCCGCGGCCCAGCACATCCTTGGGGTTAAAGGAGATCTTCCCCACCACAGTGAGCTGCTCAGCTAGGGGAGAGGAGGGCGGGGTCTCAGGGAGCCACCACTGCCCAGCCCAGCCCTGCCCTGCCTTCCCCTTTCTTCCCCCTTCCATGCCCAGCCTGGTGCCAGACTGCACAGGCCCAGTGCCTGGTGCTGCACGCACTGTGTGTGTGCTTGGACAAGTCACTTCACTGTGTGCCCTTGGTTTTCTCAACTGCAAAGCAGTGCAGACCAGCACCTGCTCTGCAATGTGCACAGTCCGCAGCTCTCCCTGTTCCCTTCCATGTGGCGGCTCTGCTCCTTGGCCGGCTGGCCTGCACGTGGGCCTGAGTGTGCAGCCCTCCTTCAGCTTCCAGCGTGTGCACCTGCTTTCCTTCATCTCTGAACCTTTGCTGGTGCTGTGGGTGCCACCTGGACACTCCGCTCCACCACCCCAGCTCTCTCTGGGAATTCCATCTTACCCTGGGGCCAGAGCTTAGCCATCTCTTTGAGGGCACTCACTCTTCCCCCACACCTGAGGCGAGCCCCCTCTGTGCTCACCCAGCCCCTATGTGTCACACTCCCATGCGGCGGCTCTGCTCCTTGGCGGCTGGCCTACATGTGGGCCTGAGTGTGTAGCCCTCCTTCAGCTTCCAGCATGTGCACCTGCTTTCCTTCATCTCTGAACTTTTGCTGGTGCTGTGGGTGCCACCTGGACACTCCGCCCCACCACCCCAGCTCTCTCGGGGAATTCCATCTTATCCTGGGGCCAGAGCTTAGCATCTCTTTGAGGGCACTCCCTCTTCCCCCACACCTGAGGCGTGCCCCCTCTGTGCTCACCCAGCCCCTATGTGTCACACTGCCTGGCAGCTGCCGTCCGCTCTAGGCTCTGCCTAGCAGTCATGAGAATGCCAAAGTAAAGAGTTTCTAGGCAGTTTAAACAAGATAAGTGACAGAATTGTTGTTTTCTAAATATATAAAATAGAGGAAATCCAGTATTACATACAGACTGTTTCCACTGAGTCATAACAGGCTCCCTCTGCGTGTTTATGTTCTTAGATGCTTGTCCTGAATTACTGCGATCACTTTGATTATTTTTATAGTGGGTAAAAAAATTAGGTGTTTTATAGAACAAGGTGTCCTGGCTGAGCCAGGGCTGGGGTTCCGCATCCTCTCCTCTCCGCCTCCGAGGATGCCTGGTAATACTGACTGTAAGTACTTGAGAGGACGCTGGGGAGGGATGAACATCCTGTCAGTGCCGGGGGCCTAATGGCTGTGGTGGTGAGAGCAACTGGAGGACAGCACGGAGGGACGACAGGGCCATTTGATGGGAACCACCCGGGGTGTCTGGGGAAAGACTCTGCTCAGGTCCGAAGGGCCAAGGAGATGAGTGTGTCGGGGTGCGGTGGGACCTACCCAGAGCCTGTAAGGGGACAGGAGCTGCAGCTCAGGGTCAGCGGGGGGACCTCCTACAAGAGGTGACCCCTGAGGAAGGGTAGCTGTTCCCTCTCCGCAGAGGAAGGTGAACATGTAGGTATAAGTTGGGAGCAGCACCGAGCATTGAGCCGTGTGGCGGGTGGACTTCAGCCTGAGTATAGGCTCCAAGGCTGTGGTTTGAGCTGTGACCAGGAGGTGCCAGTAGCAGTTTATGCAAAGGACTGAAGAACGGCCCAGCCCAGAGCCAAAGAAGAAGCAGCCTGAACTAGTAGAAGGAGATCAATGAAAGCATGGGGGAGCCCAAGGGGCAGCCGTGTGCCAGAGGAGGCTTGAAGGGATTGTTCATAGGAGTGAATGGAGAAAAAAAGAGAATGTTTAGAAAACAAAAAGCTCTGAAGAGCGGAAATGGTATCAAATGGTATCTAGGTAATTTACTGTCACTGTTACCAAATATGATATTATTTTAGCACACATATTAATACCATCACTTCTGTATAATTGAAAATGTTTTTTTAGCCCTAACTGGTTTGGCTCAGTGGATAGAGCATTGGCCTGTGGACTGAAGGGTTCTGGGTTCGATTCCAGTCAAGGGCACATACCCAGATTGTGGGATCAATCCCTAGCAGGGGACCAATCAATGATTCTTTCTCATCATTGATGTTTCTATCTTTCCCTCTCCCTTCCTCTATGAAATCAATAAAAATACATTTTAAAAAACAAAATGTTTGCCCTAACCGGTTTGGCTCAGTGGATA